GGCGACGCCTGTTACTGTCCAGACGTCGTAGTTGCTGTCCTCTTCTGGATCGGGTACTTCAACTCCGCGCTCAACCCACTTATCTACGCTTACTTTAACCGCGACTTTAGGGAGGCTTTTAAGAACACCCTTCAGTGCGTCTTCCCTTGCTGCTTCAGCTGCTGGAAGACGCCAACACCCACACAGTACGTCTAGCTAAGAGTTATAAGCGCCGCTTCTAGCCGCAATCCAAGCATAGTTGTCCCAGAACCGAACAGCTCTGAGATACAGACGGAGGGGTGCTCTGTTAAAGAAGACGATCCACCGGCAGATCTCAACTCGAAGGCAATTGTCGTTCCGGCAATAAAGGTCGAGGAACCTCAGAAATATGAGGTTGTTGCAGAACATCACGATGTACCCAAAGAGTTCCTTGCTTAATACAAGTATTTGCTACGTTTGCCAAAGTTGGAAAGTTATTCAAGCTGCCAGTCCTATTTGCGTTTTAATTTATAGTTTGTCTGAAGATTGTGATTGTACTATTATGGTTTTTGAAGTGAAGGGTCTGGGAAACAGGGCGATGTACAAGAATTTTTGTTAAATTTTAAAAAAAAGACAGCTGTAATACGATATAAATCTTAATTCGAAAATTATGAATCCAACTTAAAATCTGCCTTTTATTATCAGCCACTCATTTATCTGATGATGGGGGTAGCAAGTACTTCTGAAACGTCCGTAAACTTCTATCAGACAACCCAGAAGACAACCACCTTCATATTCACCGCTTTGAGAAATTGAAAATCTCAATGCCACGAATCGGTACACTACGACAGTCTACTTACTAAGTCTGTCTTTCGTGTGGCACACAAGGGATTAGGTATTTTAAGGATTAACTGAATAAGGGGTAACATTATCCTTTCCCAGTCCATTCACTTAGAAATCTGTTTGATAAATAAACGCAAAATAATTATTAAAAATGTTACGTATTGTACAATATAAATTAGTTAATTAGATTGGAGATGCAAATGTAAAAAACAAATATAACTACACAAGACAAAGATATTGCGTAGGAAACCCAACAAATTCTGCTGTAACATAACAGACGCCTGCCCGTCTCTATCTGCCCTCTTTCGACTGAGATTCATATCAAAGCAAAATTACTTATTTTCTTCAACAGAATTTCAACATTTACTTTCATTGTTTTCTCAGTGATGCGTGTTTCTGTGGTTCCACAAAACACTTAAAATTTATTCAGCATTAAATTAACATCATAGTCTCTTATATTTCGCAATAAATTAGACCTAAACAGGAACATCTCACTTACTTAATTATTTCTATCGTCTGAAATTTTTCTTTTCTACGATTTTTGTCATGTAAATAATTATGTTGGCAAAAATGGCTGTCTTTTGTGTAATAGAACCGTGAACTTCAGTAGAAGTTTGTGGACGTTTCAGAGGTTTCTCTGCCTTAATCATCATAATCAGCAAGTATTTCTGAAACGTCGTTAAACATCTAAGAGGCCACAATGATCTACAGCCGAGAAGGCAGCCATCTTTATACTCACCCCCGTGATAACTTCAAATCCTAAATATTTTAGTTCTTGAGATGGAAATGTTCATACAACATTCATCAATAAGATTGTAATTTGTAAATGGTGGATGGAGAAGTCTGGCACATTCAAACATGATGTCAATTCTGAGTTTAGATTATATTCGCTTGTATTACGTTTGCATCTTAAGGTTTATATACGTAAAATAAATTGAACGTCATTACAACAACGGACATCGCAATTTCGGACAGCTGTGCCTCGCGGAAGAACATTTAAGTGGCGCTTATGTACTGCTAGATATATGCTGTGTTATCTGCACATGCGCACAAAACGTGTGTTTATAAAAACATTAAGACAATAATACGTATCCAAAAGTAATTAAAACTGTGTGGTAAACGTGCTTCCTTCCAGTCGATTTTGTTGTTGAGTTGCAGATTTTTTTATATATACTGCCGAAGAACATTTTAAAGTATAAAATGTATAATAGAATAAATTTTTTTTTTGGATATTATCCATCGTCTAGTAAATATAAAACGTAAAACGACGTTTCGGAGATGGGACTCTATCTCCGTCTTCAGGTTCCTACTCAGTTGGGCCCATAGGTGAAGACTGTATAATGAGATTTGTGATGGACTTTGTAAAGATGCTGAGTAGCCATTACAGAGTCTCTAACGGTCATTGTTGGTAACAGAATTTAACACAAATGAAAGTCTCAAAACTGGGGAGTTATAAAATGCATTCACATTGCCTTTTCAACAAAGCACGACTCCCACTGTACGCGAAGCTTTATGTAGTTTATTAAAAGCGTGAGGAACTGTGATTCATTTCTTCTCATTTTATTTATATTCATTATATTTAATCCTCAAGACTTAAGTTGTTCTAAAATATATTCTGCGTGGGACGTATGAGATGACTTCAATAACAACGCAATATTGACTCGCGTTTTATGTTATATATCTAATGTAGCTTCTGCTTAAAAAAAAGAGAAACAAAGACGAGGCCCTCCTAAAGACGACTACATTTAATTTATCCTGATTATTAAAATGAGAAATCACTTTAAAAATATGCTGTTTCAAGTACGTATCTATTAAAAAAAATTAAGTTAGAATATGTATTCTTCAGGAAAATTCGAATTTTAAACTCTTGAGTAGACTTTAGATATTAGTGCATCACGTTTTAGAAGAAGTGTTAAAAATTTTGTTCCGTAAGCATTTTGTTAACAGCAAAGTTATTTGTTTGTAATTATAATCAAACTTATTTTCCACTCTCGGCTTTCTTACATTCGCTCTTGACGAATTTAAAATTTTAATTTATTCTATCAATTACCTACAAATGATGCTTAAAAGTAGAGGTTCTCATCTTCTAGCTCCTTCGATATGTCTTGTGTGTTTCGCTTACTTAAATTTTCGTAATATTTAATCACTCTTTTTAAACAGTTACCTGATAACAGAAGAAAAGGCTTGATTATCATATTCATTATTTATCCACTATCTACTCCTGTGAGAAATTAAAGGTGTTATTAATAAACACATATGGGGGGATAAATCATGAGAATAAAATAATCAGAAATTATATCGATAATAAAATTTGAGAAATCAAAAGCAGTGCCAAATCAGGAGCTGATGACATTTTTTATTTAGGAAAATTAGTGAGTAATAAACATGTTTTTAAAAGTCAAGTATTAGCATTTATTATTTTCAGAAACTGCCATAAGTGTTAATAACACGACTTATTTATAATACGGCAGACCGCAGAAAGGCTGTAGGACAATGTGTTCTGCAGTTCTTAAAGTCTTTTAATAACTACTTGAAAATTTTTGTCACGATGGTTGATTCGTTATAATAGCTATGAAAAAAAAAGTTTTTTTTAAAAAAAAATTTACTTCCTACACAAACATAACGGTACAAAATTTATTGTAATTAGGTAAATATTTTACGCTTTGTTGACTCCATTAACCTGGTCACAAAGGGGACAAATTCACGGCTGAATGATCGAGCATTACGCATTTCAAATTATATAAGTTTGGAAGCAAATGAAAATTAAATCAACCATATTCAAACAACCAAACGCCAGCAGCTTATCAAAGAACTCACAGAGAGTTTATGCGAATACAGTACAGGTATACAAAAGGTCGGCGACTTGACAAGAAATTAATAAAGCCGGTGTTATAATTGAAAATCCAGTCTGAAAAGTCAAATTATATATAATGTAGCGTGGTTTACGTATTCTGAATCCGCACATGCAAAACTCATTATAATTTTACAGTTTCAGACTTAAATAATTTACCGATAAAACAAATACAGGAGAGAAAGTATGAAATACAAAGAAACTGAGAAAAAATGTACGAGGAACTTCATTCTGTTAATATTCATCTAATACTATTTGAGTAAAAAATTTAAGATAAGATGGACTGGGTACGTAGCACGTATGGGGGATATAACAAACATTTTGGTCACAAAAACTAAAACCTATGGTCATTTGGGGGGGATATAAAGGAAAGATTTAGACGGACAAAAATAAATAAATGATTTATGCATTCTTAAAACAAGTTGTTTAACGATGAATTTTAACTAAATATTAGCAGCTCCCAGAGCTACGAATAGAAAGTTATTACAAAATCTACGGAAAAGTCTTGTAATATGGTCAGGTGGCGATTTATTCTAAACATGACGATAAACATTGGAATTTAATAAATTTTCGATTAATTATGAATGTTAATTGCTTAAGGACGACTCTGCTCTACGGAATTATGAGTCTTCGTGTAACAAATTATGCCGAGAGGGTGACATTTTCAAGTGTTTTAGAGAAATCGCCTCTGTCCCCATAAGCCAGAATGATGATTGGTATGTTACGACAAGCGAGAACGTGTTTAAGGAAGACTCCCAAGATACATACGTACTTTCAGATACGTATCAGAACAAAACACCTGCCTACAAAGTAGAAAAAAAATCATATCGTGTAGTGAGTTGTTTACCTTGTATGTGTTATGTATGTGCCGTACTGGCTAATCGATTACTCAAGGCGGCTTTCTTACGTGTTATCATGGATGAGGCCAAACTTATAAAGTCTTTTACGTTTACATTTCAGTCATAGTTGTATGGATTTTTTTTTCTCAATAAGGTATTTAATATTTCGATGTTTTCAGTAATATTGAACGGAACTGTAGGTATTGTCATATTTTAATATTCCGAAGAGAGGTAATAACTTTTAAGTGGATGAAAACAATTATTAAAAGTCTTCGGACACAAATATTTAGCTGATATGTAACGAGGATAAGGAGATTAAGATATTTTAAAGCATGTTATATTCAAGAATTCAACGAAGGAGGGACATGGAAACGGGGACTAGGAACAGGATGTTCAGAAACGTTTGACTTAAGGGAGTAATAGTGTGGCAGAAGGGAGAAAAATCCATAACGAGGAGCTTCACAATTTGTACAATTTCAATAATATACCTACGTCGACGTTGTGTGACGCATTTATAAGCAACGCTGTTCCGACGCCATTGTAAAAGTAGGATAAATCGGTTTCCTTTTGTAGCATCAAAGTTATTTTTTAAGCTTTCAGAAAGAAATTAATACTTGATACTGAAAAAAGCTAGACTGAAAATATCTTCGTTTCGCTTTCCTTCTATTAGTGACCCAATGCAATGACCTTACATTTTAATACACTGGTTACAATGGTAAAAATTAAACTATGTATTTCCTAACTAATTAGTTTAATCAGTTTTATATTCATAAAGAATTTACCTTTAAAAAAATAAAAGCTAATGTAACTTAATTACCCTGAAACTTTACACAAGATCGAAGTAAAGGTGTGAACTAGATTAATACTCACCCTGTACGAATCTTTTCACGCAAAACGATACACGTGTAAAAATATTTTGTCAAGTT